TGGCAGCCCCCACGTGGCAGCCACACCCGGGTGACCACTGTCTCCTGGGCTCAGGTCTTCTTGACGGAGTATGCTGGGCCCTTGTTCATCTACCTGCTCTTCTACTTCCGGGTCCCCTTCATCTACGGCCACAAATATGACTTCACATCCAGTCGGCACTCGGTGGTGCAGTGAGTGTGGGGTGGGGCAGACAGCGGGGTGTGGTGGGTAGAGGGGTGAAGGTCCTGCTGCCTCCGTGTGCTAAGCCGGCTCCCCCGCAGCCTCGCCTGCATCTGCCACTCATTCCACTATGTCAAGCGGCTGCTGGAGACGCTCTTCGTGCACCGCTTCTCTCATGGCACCATGCCCTTGCGGAACATCTTCAAGGTGAGAGCCCACTTACCCATGGACCACACCCACTCAAGTCCCGCCCATCGCCTCAGGCCGCCTGCCCACCAGGCCACGCCCACCAGCGCTCCGCCCACCCGCCCTCAGCCCTCACCCAATCAGGTCCACCCAGCCTGCCCACGGGCCCCACCCACCGAAGAGCCCTCTGCGCTTCCACGCTGCCCATATCTGTCCCTGTCCTGCCCTTTCAGAACTGCACTTACTACTGGGGCTTCGCCGCGTGGATGGCCTATTACATCAACCACCCTCTCTATACACCCCCCAGTAAGTGCCTCTGACCCCCACCCCCGCGAGGCCCTCGGTCCTCACCCCTCCTGGCTCTCACAGCCCTCTCCCTGCTTCCTCTGCAGCCTACGGAGCTCAGCAGGTTAAGCTGGCACTGGCCATCTTTGTGGTAAGGACGCTAGGGTGATGAGTGGGGGTATAGCTGGGGGTCCCGGGCTGACCCGCCTCTCCCACAGATCTGTCAGCTGGGCAACTTCTCCATCCACATGGCCCTGCGGGACCTGCGACCAGCTGGTGAGTGACCTGACTGGATAGGGTTGGCTGGGTTGGCTGGGTCAGGGAGAGGGTCTCACTTGTCTCTGTCCTGCATCAGGGTCCAAGACCAGGAAGATCCCATACCCCACCAAGAACCCCTTCACGTGGCTCTTCCTGCTGGTGTCCTGTCCCAACTACACCTACGAGGTGAGGGCCACCCTGCTCTGCCTTAGCCTGGTTCCCAGGTGGAGGGCAGCTGCATGTGGGGTTTGCATGTGTGTGGCCTGCTGCGCTGGAGCTGGGTTAGCAGTGTCCTGCAGAGCCGTGCTGAGCTGGCATGGGGTGCATACCTGTAATTGTCATTTCAGCACTACAGGAGTCTGAGGCAGGAGGATTGCAGATTCATCCTAACCTGGGCAATGTAGCACAGAGAGAGAGAGAGAGAGAGAGAGAGAGAGAGAGAGAGGGAGGG